CAAAAAAAAAAAAAAACAAATAAATATGATCAGACCTGCGTTATTAAAACTGACCTTGGACATTACATGCTTTCGAAATTTTGAGCGAGGCTTTATAAATAGCAGATTAACGAAAAAAGAAAAAAGAAGAACTCATGTAAGTGAAATACAAATAAAGGGCTGCAATTGGCCCAAAATATGTAAAAGTCTCATATATATATATATATATATAATCTATCTCTGTGTGCATTCAACCTCCATCTTGTGCATCAAATCAAAACATCCAGTACCCACATTGACTGGCAATCCAAGACAGATCCTAGCAGATGGGGTTTCTAAGCGATCCACCTGCCCATGATATGCTGCTTCAACAATGAACTTGGAAGCTGTCTCAAAAGTCATTTTATTAAACGGAGATATCGACTCCACGATGCCTCCAAATCGATTCAATGGACGATAACCACCAGCATGAGTCATAAAGTCAGCTATTAGTGTAAGATGCCTAATGTTGACGGATATTCCGTAAGACTTGAAAACATTATTTATTTCTCGGATGATAGTTTCCCTGGCGGCTTCTACTCCGTAAGTGTTCAGCATCGCATGTATGTTATTGGAATAAATATACCTGACATCAAGAACATCTTGCAGTTTCCAAAATGTACCGAAATCAATTCCAGTAGTTTGCAGAGCTGCCATCTCCTTTTTTTCCTTGGATGAAAAACTTTGTTTATTTTCAGGATCCTTCCCAAAGCAGAGGACTTGATTTTCATCACAAGTAATTTGTTTACAGTCTGCAACCTTTCCAGATCTCTGTATATAAACCTTCTGGGCTGTCTTCTGAGCAATCTACATAACATAATTCAAACAATTTTCAACACAGGGGTGAAAGAGAATGTGCAGTAATAAAATATATAATGAACACCTGCATAGTAACAAAAATATAAAACGCCACATGAATCTAATTATACTCGTAAGTTAACAACGGTTTTGGGCGTGCTTTTTATTGTGCTGTTTTTGTTTTTCCTATAGTTTTTATTTATTTTTATGAAGCTTCTGACCCAAAATAGCTTGTCAGAGGGAGAAATGCTGAGTAACGTGTGGGCTAACTTTCCAAGGAAATAAATAAGAGCAGAAGTGTGATAACGAGTAAAACTAGAAGTACCTGAGACAGCAAAATATGAGGTTCATTGTCGGTAAATCTAAAATGGACCTCGAAGTGAAACCCCTTTGCTGATACAAAAATTGCCCTGTCAGTCTCCTTTTTTACCATCTCTGCTCGGACCTTCCTTTTCTTTCTAATTTGGGTTCCCGATTTGGTCTTTTTCTCCTTTGACTTGGGCTTAGCTAGGTCCCCAGCTTCTTCTAAAGGACTTCCAGGCATTTCATCACTAGCATCGATAACCCCAATTTCAACTTCACTTTCCTCCTCATCAATTTCACTTTCATCTCCATCTGACAAGTCTGCTTCTCTCACTTCATCATCACAGCCATCTTCATAATCCATCTCATCTGTAGCTTGTAGCTTTCGCTTATGTGCATCCAGACCAAAATCCTCGACCCCTTCACCATGTTCACCATCATCTGCACCACCATTGTCATCATCTTCTTCCTCACGTTGAGATATTTTTTCAGAACGATTTTCATCTGTCTCATTTGATGCCTTCGGTTGTGAATCAGGCATGAAATTTTTAATACCACTAATTTTAGAAAGCAAAAGAATATGATTTTGTATGGCGTCTTCCAACTCCCTAACAAACAGAGTCTCTAGGATTTCCTCCCAATCTTCTGATGAATATTCAACAATGGTTTGAAGATGTTCAGGTATGTGGAGTGTCATCTCAAGCTTATAAATACGGCAAGTTTGACCATCCTGAATGGAAAATGGCACAAAGGTTACTTTCATACTCTCAATTATGTCTGCCACAGTGATTTTCTTCAACTTATCAGCTAGCTGCTGGGCTTCCTCCCTGCATATAACAAATAGAGTATTTCTAAGTCTATAAACATAAAACACGGTGCCCCTACATTCCATAAATGTGTCCAAACTAGAGGACAAACATCGGATAACACATGGTCAGCAGGGTTTAGCAATATTTAAAACTAAGAAATACATAAGCTCTGTCATTGAGAGCGAATTTACAAAAAAGCAATTGGACATCAATAAACACTAGGTATCGGTTATCAGCAAGGATAGCTTTGCACTCAAAGTTGCATTCAATTGAGACAGAATAAACCCTTACATCAACCCTACCCTCACTTTAACTATGAACCAGAGCCTTTTGTGAAAATAAGATTATTCAATAGCTCAGAGCATTCTCTTTGAAATTTTGAAAAAAAAAATCCGTACTGTTGCAAGGATTACTTAAAGACTTATAACAAAATATTAAATGTACAGTATGTTCAGTTGTCTACTAACATACCCACCCAAAAAAAAAAAAAAA